TGACAGGTGTGAGATGGTACTTCATTGTCATTTTTATTTGCATCTCTCAGATGATTAGTGACTTTAAGCATGTTTTCATATGTCTCTTGGCTTTTTGTATATCCACTTTCAAAAAGTGTCTATGTAAGTCCTTGGTCAATTTTGTGATTGGATTGTTTATCGTCCTTTTGTTAAGTTGTATGAGTTCCCTATAAATTTTGGAGATTAAACCCTTATTGTAGATAACATTAGCAAATATGTTTTCCGATGCAGTGGGCTCTCTTGTTGATGGTTTCTTTTGCTTGAAGAAGCTTTTTGTTTTGGTGTAGTACCATTTGTTAATTTTCTCCTTAGTTTCCATTGTCCTAGGAGCTGTATTGGTAAAGATATTAATACTACATACGTCTGATATTTGCTGCCTATAGATTCTTCTAAGATTTTTATGGTTTCCCATCTTTCATTTAAGTTCTTTATCCATTTTGAATTTATTTTTGTGAATGGTGTAGGTTGGTGATCTAGTTTCACTTTTGCATGTATCTGTCCAATTTTCCCAACACCATTTATTGAAGAGACTATCTTGACTCCATTGTATGCTCTTGCCTCCTTTTTCAAATGTTAATTGAGCATAAAAGCTTGGGTTTTTTATTGTAGATGATTTCTAATTTTAAGCCACTGTGATCTGCAAAGATGCTTGATATGATTTCTGTCTTCTTGAATTTGAAGAGAGTTAGCCTGTGTCCAAATATGTGGTCTAACTTTGAAAATGTCCCAGATGCACTCTAGAAGAATGTATTTTCCATTGCTTTTGGGTGAAATGTTCTGAAGATGTCAATTAATTTCATCTGATCTAGTGAGTCATTTAAGATTGCTGTTTCTTTGTTGATTTTTTTTTGTCTAGAAGATTTATCCAGTTATGTCAATAGGGTATTAAAGTCCCCTACTATGAATATATTGCTGTCAATCTCTCCCTTGATATCTTACAGAAGTGTTTTTTTAAAAAAAATGTATTTGGGTGCTCCTGTATTGAGTGTATATATGTTTACCAAAGTTATATCCTCTTGTTGTATGGATCCCTTTAGTATTATGAAGTGGCCTTCCTTATCTCTTGTTATGGCTTTCACTTTGAGGTTTATTTTGTCAGATATAAGTATTGCTATCTCTGCTTTTTTTTTTTCACTTCTGTTTGCCTGATCTTTTTATTTCTTCATCCCTTCACTCTCAGTCTGTGTGAGTCCATTGTTCTGAGTAGCTTTCTTGTAGACAGCATATATATGGTTCATGTTTTCTTATACATGGAGTCACCCTACGTCTTTTGATTAGAACATTTAACCCATTTACGTTTAAGGTTTTTATTTATATGTACTTGTTGCCATTTTTATTTTTTATGTCTGTGTTCCTTCATCCCTTTCTATTTCTACTTTTCACCACAGTCCCTTTAGCATTTCTTGCATTGCTGGCTTGGTGATAATAAACTTCCTTAACCTTTTATTTTTTCTGTGAAGCTCCTGATTTTACCTTCAATTATGATTGATAACCTTGCTGGATAGAGTATTCATGGATTCAGTCCCTTGCTTTGCATCATTTTGTATTCTTCATTCCATTCCCTTCTGGCATGATGTGTTTCTGTTGAGAAATCATTTGATAGTCTAATCAGAGATCCCTTGTAGGGATCTTTCTATCTCTCTCTTGCAGCCCTTAAGATTCTTTCTTGGTCATTAATGTTTGCCATTGTAATTACGATGTGTCTTGGTGTGGGTCTTTATGGGTCCATCTTGTTTGGGACTCTCTCTGCTTGTGTGACTTTTTTCTTTCCCAAGTCGGGAAAGTTTTCTGTCATTATTTCTTCAAATAGGTTTTCTATTCTTTGCTCCTCTTCTTGACCTTCTGGCACCCCTATTATTTGGATGTTGAGTCATTTCATGTTGTCCCAAAGCTCCCTTAAATTCTCCTCTTCTTTTTAATTTTTTTCCAATTGCTGTTCAGATTGGGTGTTTTTTATTCACTGATTCGGTCCTCAGCTTCTTCTAGTCTACTGTTGAAACTTTTCATTGTGTTTTTTTATTGCCGCTATATCATTCATCATTTCCTCTTGATTCTTACATATGTTGTTGATTTTCTCATCCATCTGGTTTAGGAACTTTATGATCCATAGTCTGAATTCTTTTTCTGACATATTGCTTGCCTCCATTTCATTTAGTTCTTTTTCCGGCGATTACTCCATTTTTTTGTCTCCCCATTTTTGCTGTCTCTTTCTGGCCCTGGGCACCGTGTTTGGGGTTGAAGGTTGAAGACCCTACCAGGCCAATGGTCCAGAAATCATTAGCTCAGAGGCTGGGTCTGCCTTGAGACTCATGCCTTTATTTTCTCTGCTCTAAGTTTTATCCCCTTCTCCCACAGATCTGGTCCCTCCGTTGTCTTCTTAAGAGTATCAGTTCTTCTGGTGTCCAAATTCCTGTGAAAATCCAGAGCCCTCTGACATGCAATTCTCTGTGTGGCCCTGGCACCTATGGAAAAGTGGTGCCCTAGGTCCCTCTGGCAAGGCACTTGCAGCATGGTACTGTGGTCCCTGGCTGGGCATACCAGATTTCTGCAGTTCACCCAAGCACTGTTCTCCTGTGGCCCAGAATGTGGCATGGGCTGGGTTACTCCTGGTAGCCATGGCAGGACTATCCCAGGGGCTGGGATGGAGCCCTTGTGGGTTGCTCTGGGTCACATAGTCAGAGCTCTCCTGTGGCCCAGGGACTCTAAATTGTCCAAGCAGCAAGTCCCTGGGCTTAGGGTATAGTAGGCACAGGTTGCTCTGGGTCCGCACTTTCCTGTGGCCTGGAGTGAGGCCTGTTCTTTGTTGCTCCAGTTCTCCCCTTCCTGGTGTGAAGGGGGAGGGGGGCAAGTTTCTCTGGGTTGCACAGTCCTCACATTTCTGGATCCCAGAGTAAGGCGCACACTGGGTTGCTCAGGCAGGACTGTCCCAGGGAATGGGGTGGAAGGGGCACAGGTTGCTCTGGGTCACATAGAACTCTCCTGTGGCACTGAGTGAGGCATGCACTGGGTTGCTCCGGATCACCCCTCCTGGGGCCTGGGGTGAAACAGACATGGGTTATTCTGGGTCTCACAATCCATGCTCTCCTATGGCTCAGAGTGGGGCATGCACTATGTTGCTCTGGGTCACCCTGACAGAAGGACCCAGGGCTCAGGTGGCTCCAGGTCAGACTGGAAGCACAGTTCTGGGGCAGCGGTTGGGCACAGGGGTCCCCCTGGCTTGCTCTCACTGTGGGGTCCTGGAGCTGGATGCTGGGATGCTGGGTCCTGGCAGGCTGATGAGGAGGCCTGGTATGGAAGGTCACTGCAGATGTCTGGGAGCCTGCCAGGAGGTACTGCACGACTCACTGCTGGGGCATGGTGGTGGTTCCACCCAGGTTATGGCTGTCAAGCAGCATTCTCTAGGCATCCTTTGACCTTCCTTATTGAAAATTTTATCAGCTCTGTCTAATTTGTTAATTCCAGGTGGATGTTCTCTGATTTAGTTATTTTTTTGGCCCCAGAAGGAGGTGCACAACACTTCTCCCAGACAGGTTTATTAAAAACTGTTATTGTCAATTACCAGTATCTAGTTTTATGTTACTTTGTTGTTTGGTTTTTTTAATTTTTTAAATTTTATTTTAGAGAGAGAGGAAGAAAGAGGGAGAGGTAGAAACATTGCTGAGAGAAAAACATCATAGATTGGCTGTCTCCTGCACGCCCTCTGCTGGGGATTGAGCCTGCAACTCAGGTATATGCTCTGACCAGGAATTGAACTGGCAATCTCCTAGTGAATGGGTCAATGCTCAACCACTGAGCCAATAGGCCGGGTTTATGTTCTGTTTTTTTTTATAAAACATCCCTGTGTACAATGATTTAATTCTGATCAATTGTCTACTTTCCCCTCAGTAAAACAAGACAGAACTTTCACAGATAATTGTACAAAGAAAATACTTAAAATCTCCAGTCCAGAACATCCTTTGAGCTAATTAGGAGATCAAAGAATAACACTGTTTTTCACTTCTCTCCCATTTCCCAGAAGTCAGCATTGCAAGCTGAAATATATCATTGTCTAAAGAGTATTCTTTTCATATTGACCCATGGAATATACTGTGGTAATTTGAACACTTAACAAACTATTTGTGATAACATCAATTAAACAGGCCCATGTAAAGTTTATATTATATTAGAAAACTATTTATTGATCCAGAAATCAGGGAGATCAAAATAATTACTTTCATAAAAATGCAAGAATCTTAGTTGGTAAATTTTATTGTCATACCTATAAAATAAAAGCCTAATATGCTAAGTGTCCAACCATTTGTTCGTCCAGTTGCTATGACATGCACTGACCATCAGGGGACAGATGCTCTGACTGGTAAGTTAGCATGCTGCTGGGGTCCAGCCAATTGAGACTGGGCGAGATGGTCCAGACATGCCCTGGAGCCCTCCCGTGGTCCCTCCCTGGCCCCAGTCGTGCACCAGTGGGGTCCCTCGGCCTGGCCTGCACCCTTTTGCAATCCAGGAACCCTCCGGGGATGTTGGAGAGCTGGTTTTGGCCTGATCCCCACAGGCCAGGCTGAGGGACCCCACTGGTGCACGAATCCACCAGGCCTCTAGTATAAAATAAAATCTTTTTTTCTTTTTTTTCTTTTTTTTTGAGAATCTATTCAGAGTACTATCCATGAGTAGAATAAGGGATTGGGATCACCTTCCCAGCATTTTTAATATACACCCTTGGAGGTTTTCACATTACTGTCAGTATCTCATGAGGGAACAAACAACATTTGTTTATTAGGTAACACAACAGCTGATGGCATCTAGAGATGTTATTCTGAATGAAATAAAAATGTGCCATGAAAAATGAATTAGGGAGAAAATGTGGAAAAACGTACTATGGAAAACTATGCCCTCTCATTCTACAACCAACACTTCAAGATGTCACCGTGTACACTTCGTTAATTCAGAGACGTTTTACTTTCCCAAGCTGGCTCTCCACTTACCCGAGTTGTTTTCACTTTATTCCCAGAGGAGCAGCTCCAGCCTTTCCGATCAGGAAGAACTTTACATTCCTCTCCCTCAAGACATGGCTGCATATGACACCACCATTTCTGTTCCACTATGGAAGCTACAGGAGATAGAAAAATAGATGCAATGTTTTCTGTTGGGTTTGTTCATTCTCTGGGTGCACATTTAAAGAAAAAGCCACCAATTTTTCCTATAACTGGCTAGACCAGGGGTGGGCAAACTTTTTGACTCGAGGGCCACAATCGGTTCTTAAACTGGACTGGAGGGCCGGAACAAAAGCATGGATGGAGTGTTTGTGTGAACTAATATAAATTCAAAGTAAACATCATTACATAAAAGGGTACAGTCTTTTTTTTCAATAGTTTTATTCATTTCAAACGGGCCGGATCCGGCCCGCGGGCCGTAGTTTGCCCACGGCTGGGCTAGACTGTGTTTTAGGTTTTAGGGTCTGCCTGCCTTCCCCCCCCCCCCCCCAAAAGGCTAAATCTAGATTTTCTGAGTAGAATAATTATTTTAACTTTACTTTATGGTAAGAATACTTTACATGAGACTTACCCTTTTGAGTCTTTAAACATACAATACACAATAAGCACACTGTTGAATGATTTTCCATGGGAATATATAGGCTTAATGAAAACTGATATATTTGAAAGAAACTAATAGTATGTATTTATGAACTGATTTACATAAACAGATAAGCAAATAAGCCTCTGACCAATTTAGAGTCAATATTTTAGAATAAATGTTATATTTCCCACAGTAGGCTGAAAATCAGAGGGCATTAGAGTTAATGCAATTTTTTTAAAAATTTCTTTATTGTGGGTAGTAGCCAACTTCACAAGATATAGACCATGCTAATATGAGCACTTAAATTATTATTTATGGTAACATCAATTAAATGGCTGGATATCCTATTTTAATTAGGTAAATATTAAAGAAATGAACATTCTGATGCATCTTTACAATAACCAACATTTTATCTGAATTCTATCCACAACTAAATAGTCTCTCATGTGCATGATGTTCATTTTTCATTCTTAAAAACCATCCATGGACTTAGAAATTCATACTATTTAATCATCTGTTTTCATCTTTTCTTTCCCAGTTAATTTACACACACATATCCTCATCTGGTAAATCAGTATTTCATGGCATCAAAGAAGCACTTGAACTTGTTGGAACCCCATTATAATGCCATTTATTATGAAACTGGGTAAGACCTTATACCTCCTTCCAAAGGATTTTGGATTTCAAAATGCCTTCCAAATAACCTCATATCAACCACATAATCTATACTGTGGTCCCTCAGAATTGGCCCCGTCAATAGCATTACAGTGGGGTTCCAGTTCTAAGCAGTCCCGAGCTACACTACCGCAATGAGCAATGTAAAAGTCGCACCATCCACGCAAGATGGAGCAGCTCGCGTGGTGCCTGCCACCTGCCCAGGGAAGCAGGAGCACTTGACAGTTTGTGACCGTTCTTCTATCTTGTTCTTATTACAGCATCTGTGGAGTGCCACCACCTCGCAAGTGCCCGTTTTAACATGGTGAGCTGTACAAACAAAAACAAAAGATGAGACATTAAGAAAGCTTTGGACACTTCCTTCTTCTTTTTAATTAGCAGTGCATTAAATATAGCTCTATAAGGGGCCCACCAGGCATGAAACTGGACCTACAATGATGCTGACTCCATAATGGAAGTTGATTTCTTTTCTAAATGTGGCAGGACCATTTCTGCCAGTAAATGCTTGGTGAAGCAGGAATAATTAGTGACTAGATTAAAATAAGCTGTTAGAACAGTCTGAAATAAAGGAGCAATATATAGTGCCAACAAAAACGTACTTAGTTGTATGTGGCTTCTCTTTACACCTTTTTGTTCAACATGTTAAAGTAAGGTAAACCCCTGGACAAATATGCTACAGTGGGGCTGATGGGTGAGTGTAAGGTCAGGCAGAATACCAATTTTCAAGAAGCAATGATGAAGGTAGGATTTCCCCCTCCTGTACAGTTTCTCTGGAAATGAATTAATTGGCTGATTCTTGAAATTGCTATTATTGTCCCAAAAGTTCCAGCCAGTTTCAGAACCCAAAAATCATTCCTTCCAATTTTGCCTGAGGGGACAACTGCCACCAAATGGCACCAAGTACAGCCAGAACTTGGGTGGATTTATATCTAGCCTAGAAACCCAGTCCAAAAAGCTGTGAGGTCCCATTTCATCCACTTTGCAGTAAGGCTATGAAGGTGAAATTTGGGGACCTGACATCAGATTATGATGAGGTTCTATTACTCCTACTGTGACATGATAAAGCAAAAGTTTCATCTGCTAAAAACAAAAATAGCTTAGAATCCAATATTTATTGAAATACCATACTTTCAGAAATTTTAAAACTGATTGCTATAAAAACAAATGTACTTTAATGTTATAAACATATTGAAAAGAGCACATTATGCATTTATAATATTTTTTGGCATTTATAATATTAATCTTCCCTGGGAGATGAGGAACCACTGTGCAGTAACTCAGGTTAGATAACTTCTTTAGATTTTCCTTGTGAGAAAGAGGAAATCACACATATTATCCACCTCATACCTCCATGAGCGATCAAGAAGCTCAAGTATGACATACAGCTTTGACACATAATTCTCAAAAGAGCTCTTAAGAAGCAAATATCATTTCCAAAGTCACAAAGCGACCCTACCAAACTAAAAACTTAAGAGCGAGACTTCCATTCCTCATGCTTTGGTGGTGGCCTCCCCATGATAATTTCGTTCAGTCTATGACTTGTACCTATTGGTTTAGGTCTCTTAAGTGTAAATCTACAGCCCAGATTTCTTTCCTAAGCTCTATTTCATAAGTGATGCTTCCTGAATTATATCTCTACTTAAGTGTCTTATAAGGAGCTCACATTAGAGAAAAAAGAAAACAAAAGACATTCTAGCCCAACCTATTTTTTGCTAAATTCTCCTTTCCCCAAGACTTCTCTATCTACTTCTGGAACATACTTTCTTAGCTAATGATGATTCCATTTGTTTTAACTTATTTAATGTTTTGTGTTATACAAGTCATCATACTGCTTTCTACACTATACATAGTCACATTTTAATTGAGTCAATACCACACATCAGGCATGGTTCTGAGTTCTAGGGTTGCAGCAGTGAATAAGAGGGACATAGACCATGTCCTCAAAGAGCTCATATTCCTCTGGAGAAAACAAATAATAATGCCTAAGTTAATGATTCCATAGGACAATATTAGATTTGTAAGTGCTTTGAAGGAACTGCAGTATGTTTTTGAGAGTAATTAAGGACAGAGAAAATGTATATTTTAGCGAGTCTCAAGGAAGACCTCTCAAAGAGGAACCTGAATAATGACCCAAGTGAAGAAAAGGAAGCACCCATTATGAAGATCTAAGGAAGAGCATTCCAAAGAGAAAGAGCAGCAATGACAAGGTACCAAATAGGCAAAAGCATGGTATGTTCTCAGGACAGGAGGATGACCAGTGTGGCTGAACAACTGAGAAGTCAAGGGAAAGGTGTCAGAAGTGTGGGAAGATCATGTAGGGTCTGGTATGCCACAGTAAGGAGATGGGACTTGACTCTCATTGCAAGGGAAAGTCTTTGGGTAGAAATGGTATTATCTCATTAACACTTTAGACATTTTTTCAGGCTGCTCTTTAGAGAAAGGACTGGGGAAAAGAACAAGCAAGAGTGTAATGAGGGAAACCAATTATGAAGAGACTGCAGGAGTCTAATTGATAAAGGATGGAACTAAGACTATACTAACAGCAGCAGAGTTGTGGGAAAGTAGCAGGTTAGGGGTTCAGTGAAGGGTTGGTTTGACTTGCTAATGGGTAGAGGGGAAAAGGAATTAAGGATTAATTAGCTGTGAGGGGAAAAGGAATTAAGGATTACTCCTAAATTTGTCCTGAGGTTGGTGGTGTTGGTAAATAAAGTCTTGGGGAAAGGAGAATTTGGCAAAAGATGGGTTGGGCTAGTTCTCTTTTTTTCTCTGTTAAATGTGATATCCTTATAAGATACTCAAGTAGAGATATAAATCAGGCAGCATCATTTATGAAATAGAGCTTAGAGAAGAAATATGGGCTCCAGATTCACACTCAACAGATCTGAACCAAATTACCATGGAAAGGCTACCAGCAAAGAAGGGGAAAATGTCCAAAATATAGACTTGCAATGAAGGAAACAGAAAAAAAAAAAAAAAAAAAAAAGACTGATAGGACCAACATATGGGGTGCGAGAAAGAAGAACCCAAAGTAAAGACATAGAAACCAAAGAATAAAATGTTTCAAGAAGAAGGGATTGATCAGCTATGTCAAATGCTACTGAAAGGTTCAATAAATTAAACGAAATAATTGTCCCTTAGAAAAGTAATATGATGCAGTGGTTAAAACCAAAGTTGCTGGGTTCAAATCTAAGCTCCTCCTAGCAGCTGTGTGATTTTGGGCAAATTACCAACATCTCTGAGTGGCAGTCTTTCATGTCTAGAACAGAGATGCTAATAGCATAATCTTCATATGGCTGGTTTGGGAATTAAATGATTTATCATGTATCAAGTATTTAGAGCACTTCCCGACTCATCATCAGCACTCTGTTAGTATTGTAAGCATTTCAACTTAATAAAATCATTTTTAATGGCTTGATAAAGTCATGAGTAAAGTATGTTTGGTACAGAATAAGATGTAAAACTGTACAATTATAAACATTTCTTTCATGGAGTTTTTCTGTGAAAGGAAGAAAGAAAACAGATACCATAAAAGCATGCTTACTTGCTGGAATGATCTGGTAGAAAGATCAGTCAATATCGGAGAGAAAAATGGATAATTGAAAAAGAATGTTCTTGAGAAGGAAAAAGGAATTGAGATTCAGGGCACCAGAGAGGTTGGCATTAGACTGATGTGGGGACACAATCCATTTGACTGAAGCAGGTAAGTGTGAGTGAGTGGAACAGGTGGTGAGAAGATGAGGCAGTTTCTTACATGATTTTATCTAGTTTTTCTATGAAATACGAGAGATGTTTCAGAATAAAAAAGAGTACTAGTATATGAAGTAAATATCTCAAAAAGAAGAAAGCAAGTTTATCTATAAAAGGCAGTAGATCATCTGGCAGGAAGTTGGCTGACATACCCTGTGAAGTGCAGATGGCACAGTGGATGGAAGAAGAGGTGGCATACTGAGCAGAATTAAGATAAACATCTCTGTGATATTGGATTGTTTGGTATGCTTGGAATTTTTATAGTGATATAGGAAAACAGAGATGTTAGTCATGAGGCAATTAATTCTGCCACTCTCTGAATGGAAGCCAGGTGAGAGATAAGATATTACTAGGATTCTTCAGATAGTGAAGCTGCTAGGCAGAGTGCTCTAGTGCTCCCTGGTCTTCCCCAGACTATGGCAGCCAGGAGCACACAGTAGGTTGCACCAACCTCTCCCCTGAGAAAAAAAAGGCATAATTTCAGCACCAAGGCCATTTTACCAACTTTGTTATAAGGAAGATTTTATCATACATTGAAAAAGACGCTTAATCTGATTTTTTCCCCCAAATGCCAATATCAAAAGTTTGACTTTGACAAGAAAAATAAGAGGATAAAAATCAGTGTGGTAGTCATTAGTGCTGTTTAAAAAATGTTTCTGGTTCTCTCCTTTCTGGGATGTGGCAGTACTATATTTCTCCACCCAATTCAATTTAGATGCAGTGATGTGACTTGTTTAGGCCAATGAGATAAAAGTTAAATAATATGAGTCCCTTATGAGAAGAGGGAAAGGAGAGCAGTCTGTGTGGATAACTAATCTATGACAAAGGAGGCAAGACTATACAATGGGTTAAAGATAGTCTCTCCAATAAATGGTGTTAGGAAAACTGGACAGACACATGAAAAAATGAAACTATAGCATTTTTTGTATTACATATAAAAATAAACCTAAAATGGAACTATAGCATTTTTATATTACATACAAAAATAAACCTAAAAATGGATTAAAAACTTAAGTGCAAGACCTTAAACTATAAACTCCTAGAAGAAAACATAGGCAGTAAATTCTGCCGTCACTCAGCAATAGTTTTTGTACCTGTCTCTTCAGGCAAGGGAAACAAAAGAAAAGTAAACAAATGGGACTACCCCAAACAGAAGTTTTTGCACAGTGAAGGAAACCATCAACAACACGAAAAGCCAGCTCACTAAATGGGAGAATATATTCACCAATGATACGTCAGATAAGAGCTTACTATCCAGAATATATAAGAAACTCATACAACTTAACACTAAATAAAACCCAAACCATCTGAATAAAAAATGGACAGAGGACCTAAATAGACATTTCTTCGAAGAAGACATATAGATGGCCAATCGACATGAAAATATGCTCAACACCACTAATCATCAAATAAATGCAAATCAAAACCACAATGACATTTCACCTCACAGCCCTAAGAGGGCTATCATCAACAAACAGCAAGTGTTGGCAAGCATGTGGAGAAAGGGGAATCATGCACTGTGTGGTGGGCTTGTAAATTGACGCAGTCACTATACACCAATA